AGGCAACTAATAAAATGCTTCTCTCTCACATCAATGTTTCGCTCCTTCTCTCTCTCACGCCCTTCCCCTTTCTCTAAAATCAGTAAGCATGTCTTCAGGCAAGGATAAAAAAATTAAAACATGAAACACTAGGGTGATCCGCAATCCCACTTCTGGGTATATTCCAACAGGAAATGAAATCATTATCCCCGAGAGGTGTCCGCAGTCCCGCGCTCACTGCCGCATTATCCACTGTACCCAGCACGTGGAAACTGCTGAAGTACCCGTCGACAGACGAAAGGAACAAGAAAATGTGGTATATATGTATAAAATGGAATATTTTTACAAATGCTGCCATTAATGGCAACATGTATGAACCTAAAGACATTATGCTAAGTGAAATAAGCCAGTTACAGAAAGACAAATACTACATCATCTCCCTTAAACACGGAGTCTAATGAAAAGCCAAACTCACAGAAGAGAGGAGCCTTGCCAGGAATGGGGGGAGGGATGTTGGTGAAAGGGTACAAACTTTGTTGTAAGTGGATGAGGCTTGAGGATCTAAGGTGCAGGATGGCGACTATGGTTAATAATGATGTACACTTGAAATTGAATGAGAGAATTGATCTTAAGCATTCTCACCATCAAAAAGTGGGGAGGGCCCTGGCTGGTGTGGCTCAGTGGATTGAGTGCCGACCTAAGAACCAAAAACTCGCTGGTTCAATTCCTGGTCAGGACACATGCCTGAGTTGCGGGCCAGGTCCTCAGCTGGGGGTGCGTGAGAACCAACCAGCTGATATTTCTCTGGCACACTCATGTTTCTCTCCCTGTCTTTCTCCCTCCTCCTCTCTCTAAAAATAAATAAATAAAGTCTTTAAAACAAAAAAAGATACCATGTTATACTCTTCAGATTGGCATAAATCAGAGAAGTCTAATGATACCAAGTGCTTGTTGGCCACAAAATGGGGGGCCCTGGGACTCTCAAACATGAAAGTAGAAATTGGCACAACCACCGTTAATAGTAATTTGTTATAATCTGGAAAAGTTGGAGCTGCGCAACCATCCGACTCAGCGATTTCGTTTCCTAACGGCACGCCCCGAGAGGTTCTTGCCAGGAGCACCAAGTAATGGGTGTACTCTTGGCGGCACGGTCGGTTGGAACAAAAACTTGGAAATACCCCAAATGCTTATTATTAGAGGAACAGGTACTGAATCATGGTAAAAAAAAATTATATGATGAAATACTACACAGCTGTTAAAAGTTAATCATTAGACTCTGGTGACAACATGAATAAGATGTCCAAAACCTAACATTGAGTGAAAATTCTAAAATATGTAAAACAGTACTGCGTTTTGCATATGGGTATAATAAACATGTAAGTGAGGAAATTATAAAATTACGGAAAGGCAGGATACACACCCAAATCATGACTGAGGTTGCTTCTGGGAAGAAAGGGGAGTTAAGACCAGGGAAGAGAAAAAAATAATAACCTTAGGCCCATTATGGCTCTCCACTTTATTTTAGAAAGTAAGAAACAGAAATGAAAAATGTAAACACTGCTTATTTCTGGAAAGGTGAGTTATGAGCTTATTACATTAATATAACTTGTTGCGTTATATACTCAGAATAGATATACTCTATTGTCGGTTATATTATTCTTTGCACTTTGGGGAGGGGCTTGGGGGGTCAATTTATGAATGAGTCAACGAATCCTCTCCCCATCGACCTACCCCCACCCAGAGCTTCAGTGAACCACAGGGGAAAGGCACGCAAACAGGAAAGAACACAGAGGAAACAGCCATGTTAGCAGAAACCACGAAGCTGGTCGAAGACACACAACCTGCTTTAAGCAGAGATCACGCTTGCAAAAAAAGTAACTTGAATTCATGAAAGATTACACTTTACACGGCCATTTGACCACATAAGTAGGTCATTAAGAAGTTAGGCAGATCTAGGTTCAACACCAACTCTGCCAGCTACCTGTGATGTGGCCTTCAGTAAATTTCTCAACAGCTCTGGGCCTGAGTTTCCTTACATTAAGATGGGGCTTGCAACACCTGCACCTCAAGAATCATGGTCAAGACTAACTCGGATCCCTTCTCTAAGTGCTTATCAGAGCGCTTGGTGTACACAGTTATTGATTCAGTGATGGGTATTGTATGTGTCAGAACTGGGATTAGAACTCCACCCATGGGCCTCTATTTCAGCAAAGAGATCAGAAACAAGCAATTACCCAACAATAAAGCAAGCCCTGGTGTTGACTAAAAGGTGTGGCTAAACTCAATGTAAGAGAAAAGATGGGAACTACAGAATCTGAAAGATCCCATTTATGCGTGACAGCACTACAAAGGCAATTTTGTAAATCCAGCCAAGTGCAAACTGTCCTCAAACAGAACAGTTTACCAGACTGAATGGTAATCTCAAGGTGGGTACCAAGTGGTCAACAGATCCCATTTACCTGTAATCCACAAAAAAAGTTCTTAGACGCCCACACTTCAAGTTTTAGAAGATAAGGTTTTACAAGTTTCTAGGAAGGTGAGAACATTTTTAAAACATACTTGGGGGAAAAAAAACACATTATTTTCCAGGCTTCGAGCCAAAAAAATTCTTCATTATTTTGAGGACACAATGCACATTAGTGGATTGAAAATTCGTAATTCCCAAATTCAAAAGCGATGCAAAGTAAATAAAAGTTAATAAAAATATGGCAACCAATAAATGTAAGGAATAAAAATGTATCACTTCACTAAAATAAAAGTAGACTTGAATGAATTCCCCAAAGGATCCATCCAAACTTTCGCTGACCAAATTATCCCTATACTATATACATTCTTTTAAAATATAGAAAAGCGTAGGTTAGCAACCTACATTATAAGCTTAAAATGGTTTTGGTCTTGCAAACAGACCAAAAAAATAATAAAGTTCATAAAACTAAAACCTCAAGTTTCTAAAATTCCTAAGACAAAAACTAAAATTTCTAGAAGCTTGTGTATAAGAAATCAAAACAAAGTTTCTGAATCTATTGGATATGTAATATATTGAAACAATTATGGATTATGTCTGTATAGGTTTGTTTTTTTTTTCCCCAAAAAGGCAAGTCGGATTATAAAACAATCAGGAAAATTCAAACCAACTGGAAATTCAATGAAACTGAGATTGTAATTGTAAAAAATGTGATCACCGTACCACGATTACGTTAATGAAACAGAGTCCTTATGCTTCAGAGATACTAAAGTACTTATGAAGCAAAGAAACATTGCAGATGGGGACAGAGATGGAGAGGAGGGAATAAATGAAACAAAATTGTCCATATTTTCAAAACTGAAGAAGCAAAGTGACGTGTATGTGGGGTCCATCATTCTCTTTTCGCTACTTTAAAATAGCCATAGTAAAAAATAAATAAATAAAAGCAGCATCTGTATTTAAAACTTAATTACAAAAACTTAATTTTGGCTTAAAAGCCAAAGCTAGTCGGTGAAAACAATTTCACAACAGAACAGAAGAGGTAACAAAGCCTTCCAACCCTTCCTCTGGCAGAGTGCTAGAATGTTCCTTCCTCTTCTTTCTGTCCTCCCCCCTTCCCTCCTGTCTTCCTTCCTGATGTCACCCGAGGCTGTGACTTAGCTTCTCCCTCTGTATCCGGAACTTCCCAAAAGCCAGACATACTTCCCAACTGGTGCCTCGCAACATATTCAAGAAATATTTTTCAAGAACAAAGCATATTCAAGCACTTGAACGTTTTTTAGGTTTGCCCTAAACAAGTAATTTTTAAAATAATACATTATCCATTTAAAACATGACCTTTACATATTTTATTACTCATTAGTGGGGGTGAGTAATCTAAAGTTTTCCGCCAAAAAGTGCATGATCAGAGCTTTGATGACCATCGTTTTGGACACTAGGATGCCACTTGAAGTTTTTGAGGAGGGCAAAATGTGAAAAGTCCTATATTAAGAAAAATAATTGAGCAGAACTACCCAGGGAGAGAAAAGATGGGAGAAAGACTAAGGTCAGAGACAGTCGTATACTAACTCGACAAGGCATTCCTTCAGAAGGGAGATGGGCAGCAGGACCCAAGGAGGAAGAGGATGGGGGACTTCAATAAAAGGACTTGGTGATTAAGGTATTGTGAAGGACGAAGAAGGGGTTGGCGGGGGTGTCAGAGACCCTGCCCCGGCGGCAAGATGATGAGTGTGACTCGTATTCAGATACAGATGCTCCTCAGACACCGGAAGACCGAGAACCCAGATTCAGCCAAAGGCCTGGGCAACGGAAGTACACAAAGCAGGCATCTCTGTAGATGTAACCCCTTCACCCCAAGATGTGAGCTCTCTTAGGGAGAGACTTCGTAGACAGGCCAAAAAGTGCAACCCCAACCTTGAGGCACATCTCTATATTGAGGAGGCAATAAAGAACAAGTGGAAACCCAGAAATAGCTGCCTGAGACGTAAGCCACACTATCTCAAAGTGGTCCCAAGAGCGCGCGGGCGGTGGCTTGGGCCCCCGCGGAGAGGCCACCAGGAAAGAATGCTGGGAGAAAACACATCATTGGTAATAACCCCGAACGGATGGTGCGGACCAGCATCAGGTATCAGAAAAGGGACAAGAGGGAAATGGAGATGGATCTAGGTGCGCAGCGCGGTGGGGGTGTGGGAACGCTCCTAGGAACGGAGGTAGCCAAGAGGTAAACACTAAAGATCCCAGGGAGTGGAGGCATTCTCCTTCGTTCCCAAATCTGCCTCCAAGTTCTCTCGCCCGGGCGGGCCCCAAAGTACCTTATTAAGAGGGCGGGGAGTTAAGGGTAGTCTTCCCCGAGGCAGCATCACATGAGCTGTGTTTGAGGGAAAAGTCTAGGGGCGCTGGAGGAAGGGCTCTCCGCACACAAGTGAGGCGCTGGAGGAAGAGGCTGTGGGGTGCAAGGGCCCCCCTCCCCCGAGGGCGCGCCCCTCTCGGATAGCAGCCCCGACAGCCTTCCCAGCCCGGGACCCGGGAAGCCGCCCCTCCCTTGCAGCGCACTTACCGCTCCGAGTGCGAATAGTGGCACCGGCCCAGCAGATTGAGTTTGCAGAGGTGCAGGTTTTCGCAGCCTTTCGGGCAGTACTTGCGACGGCAGACGCGGGCTAAGGTAGTGGCCACCACGGACCGGGTGACCCCGGCCCTGTCGCCGGTCTCCAACACCAAGAAGTGGTTGGGCCCGGCCGCCTCCAGCGCCTCGCAGAGCTGCGCCTCGGAGAGTTTAATCTCTTCGAGCAGCGCGGCCAGGGCCATGCGGCCCCCGTGGGCGCACAGGATTTTTGTGATGAAGGAGCACACCGACGGGTCCGCCATGGCGCTGCGCTGGTCTGGCCGCGACGCGCGTCTCGGCTCCGGCTAGAATCGAAACTTACGGGAGCCCCGGGGGCGGAGGCGGGCGCGGGCGGTGCTCCGGCTGGGCGCGCCCGGGGTTCGCGAGCGCGCGCTCCCCGCCGCGATCTGCGGAGCGCCGCAGTTTCGGTTTCCCGCTCGGCTGTGGGTCGAGAGGGCAGATGCCACCGACCCGATCGAGTATCGGGTCTAAAGTCAACCGCGACAGCAACCGAAAGGAAAAAAGGCGAACCCCACGGGCGATGGGCTGACGACCGCGACGGCGGCCACCGCCGCCGCCCTACGGCTCCCTTTGGGTTCTAGGCTCCGCGAGAGTGAGGTCCCCGGCTGGGCAGAGCGAGGCTTCTTCGGAAAGAAGAGAAACTAAAACTGATCTCAGGTCGCTGGAGCAGTTTTTATAAGGCGGCCGGGGTGACTTATGACGCGAGTTTCGGAGCCGCCTTAAGGTGAATATCATTAACTTCACTCCATGTTGGAGGAAGTAAGTTGAGCATGCACTCACAGCCACCAGGCTGGATCCCGGATGCTACACGAGGTTCCCCATACCGGCTTACAACTGCCACCAGATCGTAAGACCGGCTAGCCAGGACCCGTGTGCCCTTTCTCCCACACCACCATGCCCTTAAAAAAAAAAAAAAAGCGATTATTCCTCTCCCTCTCTTTTGTCTTCTCTTGAACTTTTGAAAGAACCTCTTCCTGACCTTTCCTGGCCAGCCTGCCTGCCTGCACATTGCTGACCTTGGTGCCCCAGGCATCCCTGGATTCTATACAGCAAGCAGCCACAAAGGGGCATGTTTAGACATATCCCGAGATTCCAGATAGGTTTCTTTCTTTAGTTCTCTGGACAAGACCTTTTTCCCTGTGGGGACCCACTGGGTCCCCCGGAGTTGGTATAAAGATTAAGTGAAAACCTTTGCGCTACAAAAGATACAAAAGAAATTTTATCTGAAATTCTCTTGATCTGACTAAAGCAGAGCCTCCTGAAAATACAACTACCTTTGACTCTCTTCCTAGGGAGTTCACAGCTAATTCAGTTGCCAGGTGGAGACACCCTGCCCATTGGCATTAGCATCAAAAAGCCCAGTTACACCTTCCATACTCTCCCATGGAAGCCTGAAAAACCCCCTTTTGTTAAATTGAGAGATACAATCTTCTAGCTATTCCAGTTTTCCATTACTGGGAGCTCCCCACCCTTATCCAGGTGTAAATAAATTTTGTCTTTTCTCCTATTCACCTATTTGTCAGTTAACTCCCAGGCCCTCAAGTGCTTGGACCCAGGTTGGGAGAGGAGAAAGTTTCCCCTGCAACACTCCAAGTGAAATAAATGGGTCATTGGATCATATGATCCAAGGAAATAAATTTTTTTTTAGATTGGTAGAACTCAGTTGTCAAATTAGAAATTCTACAAAATGATGATTGTGGATTGTCCTCAGGTCAGTCATTCGTGGTGGATGAACTTTGTCTCCGGGGAATAGAATACTTTGGTATGAAAACCAGCCAAACTTGAGGCCCACACAAGAACGTCTGACATGTTCCCTCCAGCTATTCTATAGCTGCCTGTGATCCACGTGGCCTTAACTGTGGTCTGATAGGCTCCCAAGAAAGGGCTTTCATGATCAAATCCATTAAATTCAACATAGCATCTTGCCCTAGCCAGAGTGGCTCACTTGGTTGGAATGTCATCCTGTAAAGCAAAAGGTCAAAGTTTCAATTCCCAGTCAAGGCACATGCCTAAGCTGCGATTCTGTCCCCAGTTAGGGGTGTATGAGAGGCTCTCTTTCTCTCCCTTCTCTTCCCCTGTGCCTAAAATCAATAAGCATGTCTTTGGGTGAGGGTAAAAAATAAAAATAAGTAAGTCCTTACATTAGTCAGTCACTCTGAACATGCAGAAGTTTAACACATAGTCCCTGCCCTCAAAGAGCTTGTGTTTGGGAAGACATGAAAAAACATTTAATTGTGAGGGAATCCGGTCCCAAATAGCATCACTTGTGCAAAAACCTATGAAACCAAATCTAGATTTAATACCTGATTTCACTCCATTTTCACCCTCTCCCAGAAATAATCTTAAATGACCAGTCTAGAATTTGGTAAAAAATCTGTAAGGTAAAATCTGTTGTTGTTGTTGTTGTTGTTTTAATAATGTATTGATTGATTTGAGAGAGAGAAACATCACTTTGTTGTTCCACTTCTCATGTGTTCATTGGTTGATTCTTATATGTGCCTTGACCAAGGATCAAACCCACAAACTTGGTGCTTTGGGTCAGTGCTCTAACCAACTGAGATACCCAGCCAGGGTGTGTTATGGGGGCCCTCCCCATGTCTCCCTCAGCCCCCAGGAAGAAGAGGCAATCTGCATGATAAAACCCTGCCCTTTTCTTCCTCCCCAAAAAGATGATGTCATGGCCTAAAAATAGTCATTTCTTTTGCTACTAATTCACCCTTCTGCCTATAAAAACCTTCCATTCTATATAACCCATTGGAGGCCCTCCTAGCTGCTAGATGGGATCTTGCCAGCTTTATGAATTGCTTAATAAAGCCAATTAGACTTTCGATTTTACTGGGTTGAATTTTGTTTATTAACAGGTTAAATGCTGTGATTGGTATATAAGACATTTGAAAAGGTAAAGTACAGTTTGACTACAGAGGTTGGGAATAGAAACACAAAATCCCCTTCCATTTGAAGCCATGAAAAAGGATTTAAGGGATTGTGGGAAGGGAAAAGGCAGCTATTTGGGGAAGTTTTGAAATTTGTGCCATCCCAGATTGGGTTCTCCAGGAAGCAGACGCAGATAGGGAGTTAGGAGCGCAGAAGACAGACGGTTTCCTGCGGTGTCACACCAGAAAAAGTTAAGGGAAGAGACTGATTGGTCTGTGGGGGCAGTCAGACTGCCACGCAAACCTCTCAAGTCTGCCAGCCTGCCGGGAAACAGGCGCCCAGCCTCGGGCCACTGCCTTGCTTCCTCCTATAGCGGGGAGGGCGTCGGGGAGAAGTACGTGACTTCAGTCCAAACACTGGGGCGGATCCTGAAGCAGCTTAAGCTAGAGGCTATCACCTACAAACTCCCTGAGTTGAGTTAACGCTTCCTAGCTGACTGGGGGTAAGAGTGACACGTTGCACCACCAGCATCTATTTCTCCACCTGTATTCAGAAAACATCTTCAGAGGTCTGACGGGCCGCTCTTCCTGAAAGGAAACTCAGCAGAAGAAAGTTCATGTAATTAACTGTAGCCCGGGCCAAGGCAACTGGTTGCAAGCCACGACTGGGCCTCCTGATATACCTCTACCACTGTGCATCCTAATACCCCACCCCCTCAGCTACCACCTCAGCGCTCTCAGTAGCTTCCCCGGGTGTGCAACCCAGATCCTCATTTCAGCTGGTCTAAGTGCCTTGTCAGACTAGGGTTGCTGCTCTTGTCTCGTTCATTCGGTCTCCGGATGACACTCCAATACATCACCAGAGTGCGCACACAGGTCATCACCCATTTTTAGCTTGAATCCACAGAGTGAGATGACCCATCGATACCCCCAGCTTGGTTTTCTTTCCCTTGCTTAGCTGTTTCGGGACGCCTCGTGTGGCCTTAGGGTGTAAGCTGGGGGAGGGGTGACAGTGCAACTGTAATGAGTGACGTGGGTATCTGGGCTACTTAATCAGCTTGTGAGTCCTGGTGGTGTCAGCCCCAGACGTACCAGTTTCCTTTTATGTTGGCTTTGATGCTGAGTCTACCTGGCTTATGACTTTCTGTGTCTGCTAGGACCCAGCTCGTGACAGCCAGTTCCGAACCCAGGTTCAGTCAGGATCTGTAGCAGTGCCCAGCCGCAAGGTAGGAGCTGTTTTTCCAAAGGAGTGTAATTCTTCGCCACGCTTGGCATAACTTTGGGGATGATGTTGTGATTCTGCCGCTGGAACTTGCCATAATTGTCACACTACATCTTCTCCCATTGCTGACACCTCCAACACGCTAGGCTCTGCCAGATTGTATAGTCCAAGCAGAAGGGCTGTTTGAATAGCAGCCTGGACCTGGACCTGCTGCAGAGCTCTTTCCTGCTCTGAGCCCCACACAAAGCTGGCCACCTCCCGTGTCACCTGGTACGTGTGCAGCAGTAGTCTTCTTAGGTGTAGAGTGCGTTTCCTCCAGAACCCAAAGATTCCTAACAGGCTCTGTGCTTCCTTCTTTCTAACGGGATGCAAGACACAGCAATTTGTTTCTTTACTTAGGAGGAAATGTAGCAGGATGCTGCTCCCCATCAGGCCTCTCATATCATTCAGGAAGGGGCAGGTCACAAAAACTATAGGATTTACCTCCCACTTTCTGGAGTGCTTGTGTCATTCAAGCTGCTAGTGCGTGCACCACCTTCTTCTGCCTGGGCAACATGACATGGTTGTTGGAGTGGATCGAAGTGATGCTATGGTTGTCTTTGGACTATATTAGGACAGAGGACTGAAGAGTGAACACAAAACTATGGCAAAATTGCAAATGCTGGTTGGTATCCATGCTGTGTGAATATGAACTATTTCGGATCCTCTTCCTTGACTGGGAATAGAAAGGAATGCATTTGCCAAATGGATGACTGCAATTGTGAGCTAGAAATAACATGCATAGAAGAAGGAAGGGTGGAAGGGGGTCCACAGTGCTTAAAGAAAAAGCCCATAAATAACTTTGGGTACCTGCCTTAACTTTGATTAACTGCCTCTGGTCACATAACTTTTCTACAACGTATGACAAGAGGTGGTCTAGAACAAGATAAGGACCTGGGTTAATAGACCTCCACACAAACCTACGTTTAGGCGGTCATGTCTTCCCATGGGAAAGTGTTCACAACCTCTGCCCACCAAATTAATATGTAACTCCCTTACACCATGACTATATAAGCTCTCAGGACAAAGGACCTGCTGCCTTGCCCTGCCCTGTCTTGCCTCCTGCCTTTCATTCACCTCAGCAAGGCCCATTCTCTTCCCTGAGAACGTATCACAGATAAACTCTGCTTGCATACCAGAGCACTTGCTGATCTTTAATTCTTTACTGCATCGGAAAGAAGAACCAAGCTTCCCACAAACAAGCATGTACCTAAGGCTGCATAACTCCACTCGAGCCAAGCCACTCTGTCAGACACGGCTGGTGTAAAGGGGTTCCACTTCCTTGCAACTGTTGGCCATCATTCTCCAGGATCCACCCAACTGCTGCTGGGTCAACTCTGGCAAGTTAAATGGACAGAAGGTAGGGGCCACTATCTTTCTGATAGTTAAAGAGTGGCACTAACAGCCGCCATCCTCCCTTACCCGGGATGTAATGATATTTTGTGGTTACTATCTGAGGGAGAATCCAAAACAACACCAGAATTATCTTCTGGAGGGCAGGCTCCTTGTAGTACAGGCTTCCC